AAAAGACATAACATATTCCATCTATGCACACCAACAAAAGTACACTTTCTACAAATGTAAACTAGTAAATTACTTAGCTCTTCCAAAATATTTTCAATTATTAAAGTAAATACTTACAGTATCTTGACCTTGAACAAGATTCACGAGCTCCTTCTTGAGTTGAAAAATCATAGGTTTGCTGTTTTTATTGAAATCGATCTTTGAGATAATCCCATATATCCATAGTAGAATCCAAGAAAATGATGCTTGTAGAAATCTTTCTTAATACTAGGTTTAGAATTCATAAAATTAGCATATTGTTGTTCGTCATCCATATACTCACAAGATTTTAATCATTGTCACAAGGCTTTGGTATTTCTTTGTTAATGAACCTTAGTTTCTTCTTTACAAAGAGTGCTATTGACATCCCGGAGTTCATGATGTGTAATTATCTTCCCTTAATGGCCGAGATACTAACATCAAACAAGGGCTACCCAAGTGATCATGAAAAATAGACCATCAATAACTTATTTACCAAGTTATGAGAATGAATAAAAAAGTTCAAAATTTATAGTCAAGATGTCAAAAGGAGAAAAACAAAGAAATCATCAAAGAAAAGGCTACAGGGAATGCAAAAATGAACAAACAAGAAAAGCTCTAGATTTCAACAGATTTATCTATTCCACTATAATATCATATTGTGACCGAAGAGAGTTCAGAATTTTAAAATAAATTCTTTATTTTTTGTATTAAGTGCTTAATATAATTTGTATAAAGTTTATATACATGTAATAAACTCATGATTACAAGATTTGCTAGGTTACAAGATCAACTATAAGATGTGGTTAACACAATTAGGTTAATTGAGATAGTTGGGTTAATGCTCAGTTAGTTAAATTAATACTTAACAATAATCAGTATTCTTGGAAATTATAGATGCACGGTGATATATATATATATTGTTATCTGGGTTAGGAGTATATATAATATATAAATACATAATCATATACAGATATTTTCAGTTAGGAAAATAGATTAGATAAGAAGAGAAATGAAGAATTATTAGAGAATACTTATTTATCATTGCAAGAATAATATTCAGAATATTAGGTGATATACCTGAAGCATACAATAGCAAGGTAACAAAAAGGAGCTGGAAAGTTGAGGCTAATCGACAAGTAAGGACAGGGCAGTAGCACAAGCTCAAGAATATGATTAGAAAAGATCAAGATTGCCCTGTAAAAATCTAAAGCACAGCATCCCAAAAACATTTCAGCCTATGAAAGATCTAAAGCTGATCAAATCATCAGATGAAAAATGACAAATTCAGAACTAAAGTAATTTATATCTTAAACTCATATATAAGTACTTATATTGCTCTGGTTAGCCCAAAAGAAGTTGATTGCATGAAGGAAATTAAGCAGTTAGTATCTAATTAATCTCACTGTATTTTGTGATTCGTTGTACATGAGTCATGCATGTATGGGGAGTGGACAGTGGTGAGTGCATGCATACATGATACACTTGTATTTATGTGGATGTGTACAAAAAGCATACATTGTACATTACAAAAACGATTGAATTCATTTCTTGACAAGCATTAATTAATTTTGTACTTCAGTATACATGCATCAGATCTTAGAATCATATCCAGTAGATTATTAGTTAGATTATCATCAATTCACAAAGTACTGCAGGGTTCGTGATACACAGGACCATGCAGGTAAAGGTCATACTCAAGGTTATTTTTTTCCTTTTTTTTCTTAGTTGTTGAGAAGAAGAGAAAATCGGGTCATTATATATATAAATATCAAAATAAATAAATGATTTTTATGAATTCGGTTAGAAATTTACATTTAATAAGTTAATTTTTTTTAGTATTTTTCAATGCAATTTTTGTCCATTCTAACAAGCATGAATATTTCAAAATAAATTAAAAAAAAGATCTTCTTCTTGAAAGTAAGGTCAAAAAAATCTTCCTTCTGTTTCAAACATAGCTGTAATCATATATTATACATATTCATGACTGAAATACATATATATATATATATATATATATATTTCTTTGTGTGTCTGTGCATGCTGGTTGACATTATTACTGCAGTTGTTTAATTATCTAGGTTAATCTGGTAGCATTTCTTTTGATTGCACACAAACTTTTTCTATGACTAGTCATCATTTATCATTGCAGAATCATATACGCTCACAGAATTGTATATACACACACGCACTATATATATATATGCAGGACCCTACGTCTTGAAACTTCAAACATGAATCTCCCGAATACATTAGACAACTGATTTAACGGTTTCATCCTTAATAATATTGAAATTACTACTGAAAAAAATCAATTACTACTAAAGCAGTTACATTAAAAAATTGAAATTCAAGATGACGATTGTAGATAAGCTAATAATTAAAGGTGCTAAAATATTATATTTTTGTTTTACCTGGAATTAACGCTGAATAATACTGGCTTTTGTTTAATCAGTAATATTGTTGCTGCAAAACCAACATCAGAGACTGCAATATTGATAAATACATAGTTGACTCATGAGTTAGAATAAGATCATTTATATATATATTATATATGCAAAGAAAAAAAGAAACATGAAGCAGCAGAGTGATTCTCCTATATCAGGCAAAAAAAGAGAAACGAAAAACAGCAATGCGTGTTCTATGCAGTCCTGTGCCCCAATAGGCAGGCCTATTATGGAAAAGACTTTAGAGCGAAGGACAGGAGTAGTTTGCTGAATGGAAATTACCTGATTATGCTATTCAATTCTGCTTGTAAATAATTTAATTCATCATTCTTAATCTACTTATGGTTTTCTTGGAAGGAATCGCCATATAACATGACTTGAAATTTCCAAGTAAGTGAATGAAGAGATTAGTAATTTCCATGTTAATTTTAAGTTGGTACTTGTTATACGTTATTAATCAAAGAATTATAAGAGGCCTACTATTAAGACTTATATGCACACACAGGCGGCATAAATGTATATATTTGCGTTGGCCTTTCATGCAACTAGCTTCTCTCTTATTAATTTCTTTTTAGATTTTAGTGCAACTACTAAATCTACATGTATATCTGTGTTGTTCCCCCAGGAAAAAAGAAGAAAGAAAGCAAAACCTATATTTGGGTGATCTCATGATGATTGGTTATTTGAAATAAAAAATTATTTAATCTAATTATGATGATTAAAGTAAGGAAATTAATGGTCAACTCATAAAACAAAAAGGATAGGGACAGAACACAATCAATTCCTTATAAAAAGAAGTGATACATCAATTCTCATAAAATTCCACCATTCAAACAAGGGATGCACCTGACAAGGAAGCTGATAATCCAAATAAATTCTTCTGGTTCATGTACTTAAAAATCTGAAATTAATTAATATAAGTTGCAATATTTATTACCAGCGTCGGAACTGCAGGATAAATGGCTTCCCATCAAACCTATACTTGAGGTGGAGATGAAGATTGAACTAGGGTTTCTCTGATCATGGGCATTTGAGAAAATAGACGAATGCTGGTTTCTTCCCTTCATAGCCGAGTTGGTCATGAAAAATGAAGTGGTGTTTTCCTCCTGAGCATCTGGGTTTATCATAAAAATGGAACTAGGGTTTTGCACTTGGACGACGTTACCTGTTGAACTTGATCTCTTTATGCTTTCGCACAAAGTTGAAACATCACGGTTAATCATCCAATTTCCTGTATAATCTGGATAATTAGCCTCTCTAGAATCTACAGTACTGCTGTCTGAATTCATGATGCCAAGGAATTTCTCAATGATGCCAACAGAATCCATTTGATGCTGCAGCAAGTGAAGACTGGGTTCTTGCACTTCTTGATCTTCTTCTTCAATGACTGCCTTCCCAGAAGATTTCAGTTCTTTGCTGGAAGCTAAGTGTTCAAATTCATTAGGGTTTCCAGCTTCATGATCAGAACACTGTTTAATGTAGTTTGGGTCAAGGGCACCTTTCATTTTCATCTTCTCCATTGTTCTCTCCCTTGCCCTTGCTCTCGCCTTGTCCCTGGATTCTCTGGCAAGATTATTGGATCCGGGTGCTTTATGACAGGACTTTTTGTTCTTTGCGCCTTTTGGATTAATTACACCCATAAAAGATTCATTCACTGCAATATCTCCCTCGTCTTGTCCATTAATTTCCTTATAAGTACTGTCCTTGAATATTATTCCTCCCGATACCACTTCACTCTCGGAGGTAGAGGAAGCACTCTTTCCACCCCCACTGTAAGCAGTAGTGTTCTTTCCTCTGGGCATACTGATCTCAGTCAGCTCCTTGATTGCTGACTTGGATTTGGAGAAGAGCCACTCTATGGTTTTGCTGGCCTTGTCAAAGCCTAACATGTCCTGAAGATCAAAGAACTTGCGAGCAATTTGAAGGGACAACCTCATTCGGCGGTCTCTCGGGCCCTGAGCTGTGTAGATCTTGCTATGCCTGTCCTTCTTCCCATTTCGCTTTCGAGGAACCATCTGTTTTGCAGCTCCATTCCCATTACCACCCTTACTTGATCTCTTCTTGCCGCTGCTGGTTACGTTCTTTGTACTCTTCCTCCCTGTCGAGGCAACGGTAGTACTGTTGTTGTTGTTGACCTCATGGGTACTGTTATAATCTGAAACAAGATTGCAAGGTGCAGAGCTCAAGATCCGTTGTTGTGGCAGCAACTGATTCATGAGGAATTCATTATCATCGTCAAGAAATGAGGAAGGGAAGTGGAAGAATGGAGAGGGATAGTTTTCCTCGTGAGTGGAGTTAGGGTTTTGATTGGCTGCAAAAGACGCAGAGATGGTGAAGGGAAAAGGACTGTAAGTACTGTTGTTGCCTGAAGAAGGAAACATGGCTCCTAATTAAGGGTCTAATTGATGAAAACCTAGCTATTGAGTAGTAATACTAGTAGAAGAAAATGAAGAGGAGGAAAATGTTTGACCCAGAAGGTGGTATTTATTGGGAGACAAAGCTTTTGCTTCATCATTTTAATTAACAGAAAAATAAAAAGTTAAATGAAGTGTCCAGAGGAGGGAGGGAGAGAGAGAGAGAGAGAGAGAGAGAGAGAGAGAGAGAGAGAGAGAGAGAGAGAAGGAAACAGAGGATACTGTGGGAAACAAGAGAAAGAAGGGTAATAGATGATATGAATTAAGCCCCTACTTCACGTGGGTGCAGGTAGTTGCTTGACAGCAACCCTTCCTAATTTCTTTTACTTTCTTAATTTCTTTCTTTCTTCTCTTTTCATCTACAAAGGAGAGAGAGTGTGTGTGAGTGAACAGGAATGACTGTAAGAAGGCTAACGATATTATAAGGGAGATGGCCACCTCTACAAAACCTAGCTAGGGAGAGATAAGAGGACCAGTTGTACAACATACATATATATATATATACATTTATCAATCTCTATATGCATATACATATTCGTATATCAATTTAGACTCTACTTTTGCACTCTTATCGATTATGTACAGCAGGTAATGCTTTCTTTGACCGTGTGTGACCAAAATGTCACTTTCCTCTTTCTGACCAGTTGCATACTTTGGGTTAATTCATACAATAGTGACTCATCTCCACCAATACTTACTGTCTCAATCCTAATTAACTTCCACTTTGTTCATAGCCCCCCAATTACTTCTTCTATGTAAGACACCTCTTGTCCCTCTATCAATACCCTGAATTCAAGAATTTTCTTCTTCCCTTCTTTAACAGAACTCTAACTTTTGCCTTACTTTGTATCTCAAATAATTTAACAATTAAGAAAATAAAAAAAATAATGATTAAACCAATTGTTAACTGATCATCAAAGTGGCTTGTTAGAAAGCTCATGGAGAGGTAGTGAGAGCGCGGGTATGAGAGGAGGGCAATGCGAGCAAGGCCGAGTTAAGGTAGGCAAGAAAAAAATCAATTTATTGATCGTGTTACAATAATTGTTTTTTAATCATTTTCTATTGTCTTAAATTTTGAATGATCACTTCAATTTACTGTTTAATATGATATTAAGGACATATGTATACTATTTAAACACTAACAATCTCATTTCTATTCAAAAAGACTTCCGTAGAGTAAGCTGGGTATGCGCTTGATGCATGATTTTAGTTTGTTAGACTTGTGCATGATAGGACGTGTTATAATAATATTTAATTAAATTCTTTCCTATTAGTTTAAAATTTTGAAGTAATTGTTTCAATTTATTTTTCAAGATATCATAAATTTTTTTTGGTTATATGATTATCTCTATTGTGTTTATAGTCTCCATCCATCATAACTTGTGATAAAATATATTAAAACCAACAACCATTAAGTCTAACAAGTCTTTGACTAAACTCCTAATTCTAAAAAATTTAAAGTTAAATTATTAGTAATGGACTTAAGTTATAAACGTGAGAAGCTACTTCTTATGTTATTGTTCGTATTATTGGTTAGATGTGTAATTTTTATTTTATATCGCAATATTTTTAGTCTTGATTGTACCTTATATGGATCTTAGATAAATGTCAATGGTATTTGTACATTTCCTCAACTCAAATAAGTATTTTGTACTTTTTAATAAAATAATAATTTAAGTATTTATATAAAGTTTTAACAATAACATAATTTTTTATGTAAAGTTTAGATAACATAATTTTTACCATTCAAATTCTTGATGTATATTCTTTCACAATAACGATAAAATATTTTGATTTTGTCATAATTTATTTTTCTAAAAAAGTATAATTCAATTTACTATTTCTTAATCCTATTATGCATGTTGTCTATTTCTAAACTTCTTTAACTCTTGCTCCGT